GCATGCCTGGAATCTGAGCAACTCAGGAGGCTGAGCGGGGAGGACCACTTGAGCATGCAAGGCAGAGGTTGCAGTCAGCCAACACTGTATCCGCGTACTCTAGCCTGGGCAACGAAGCCAGACCCTGACTCAAAAAACAGACAAATAAAAACCAACTTAACACCGATAAATTTTAAAAGCCACTAAATAGAAAATTTATTTGCCCATAGTACCATGGAGAGGGGTGGGAGGTGGCTAGGTCTTTAACTCTGAACTCAATCTTTAAAAATTGTTAATAGTAGCTGGGAGTGGTAGCTCACGCCTATAATCCCAGCACTCTGGGAGTCCAAGGCAGGTGGATCGCCCGAGGTCAGGAGTTCAAGACCAGCCTGGCCAATGTGGTGAAACCATCTCTACTAAAAACATAAAAATCAGCCGGGCATGGTGGTGGGTGCCTGTAATCCCAGCTACCTGAGAAGTTGAGGCAGGAGAATCACCTGAGCCTGGGAGGCAGAGGGTGCAGTTAAGCCGAGATCGCGCCATTGCACTCATGCCTGGGAAACAAGAGTAAGATTCCGCCTCAAAAAAAAATTTTTTTAATAGCAGTAAGAGAAGCTAAAGAGAATAATAGTAATAATTTCCATAATATGCATTACATAAACTATGTTAAGGATAAAACATACCTTTTTATTTCTTGTCCTTTTTGCTTAGGAGATTCACCTCCATTTAGGATCTGTTCTAAATTCTTTGTTTCTACTGATCCATTTGGTTCTGAATTAGACAGTCCAAGTAATGACCTTACCCGCTGAGACCGTACATCTAATATTGTATCTGTATAACCTACTTCCTGAAGATACCTGTAAGAGAAAATAAATATTAAAATCCACATACTGTTAACAAGTGCCAGACTCAAAATCATATCAAAGGAATTTTAGAAAAACCCATAATCCTATAAAATATACTCTTCCTTTGTCTCAATTTCTTTCTTCTCTACAGACTAGTTCCATTTCTAACAGAATTATGCCAATTACAAACCCAAATTTAAATTAAAAATCATGAGCATGGTTAACACTGATTAAGAGCCAATTATCTCAAAACTCAAGAAGCCCTAGTGCCTTAAAACGCTTTTAGGATTACACACACACACACACACACACACACGTTTTTAAATTTCTATACACTCTCACACACAATTTTTTTTTTTTTTGGAGATGGAATCTTGCTCTGTCACCCAGGCTGTAGTACAGTGGCGTGATCTCGGCTCACTGCAACCTCCGCTTTCCGGGTTCAGGCAATTCTTCTGCCTCAACCTCCCAAGTGGCTGGGACTACGGGCACGCGCCACCACACTCGGCTAATTTTTGTGCTTTTAGTAGAGACAGGGTATCACCATATTGGTCAGGCTGGTCTCAAACTCCTGACCTCGTGATCCATCTGCCTTAGCCTCCCAAATGATGGGATTACAGGTGTGAGACACCAAGCCCGGCCATTTTTAAAAATTTCCACACACACACACATTTTTAAATTTACACACAGCCACACATTACACACACATTTTTTAATTTCCAAGGAGTGGTAAAGAAAGAGGAGAACTGAATCTTAGCATAAAGACATACTAAGTTTAAACTTGGGGTTGTTAGCTACAGATTGATGAATACACTAATTCTCCTTCTAAGATCTAAGATTCCATATAGCATTCCTTTAGTACTGTGGTTTTCAATCTTTTACTTTATTTATTTATTTATTTATTTTTTCTTTCTTTTACTATATTTAAACCAGGGAACTTAACCTAGGATCTACGACGAGACTGGAAAAGAAGAAAGGGACTAGATTACGATACACAGATAATGAGCTCTGAATGGCTTTGTGACAAATTATTTAAGAGGCTAATGAAGGATGCTTAAAAGAAGCCTTAAATACTGCTGGCAGAAGAACAAAAGATTTTTAGGTGAATGATAAAGAGAAAAAAACAAGATAAGGACACTAACACAGCAAGAAGTAAAAATGGAGGAGAATAAATGTGAGAAAAATAAGAAAGATAATCTTTTCGACGTGATACACAAATATATGTGGAAGTAGAATGAAAAAACAAGAACTTTCGGACAATTTTCAGGTTTCTAGCTTGGACAGCTGGATGACGGGTACATTCAAAGAAATAAATATAGAGTCAGAATCCAGTTTACAGAGTACCTATCAGACAACCACGTAGTGGCTATAAAAAAAAAAAAAAAGAAAAAAAGAAAAACTCAAAAGAAAAACTCAAAAGAATGCAAGTTTTTGTCTCTCACCTACGTGTGACCTGGAAGCCCCTCCCTGCTTTGAGTTGTCCTTGCCGTTTTGGACGAACCAATGTATTTCTTACATATATTGATTGATGTCTCACGCCTCCTTAAAATGTATAAAACCAAGCTATGCCCCGACCACGTTGGGCACATGTCATCAGGACCTCCTGAGGCTGTGTCATGGACGCACGTCTTCAACCTTGGCAAAATAAACTTTTTTTTTT